GACGGCGGGGCCGTCACGAAGGGACGGCGGGGCCGTCAGGAGGTGACCGGGCCGCGACGGGGGCAGGCGGCGGGGCCGCGTAAGGGCCTGGGCGGGGCCGCGACAGAGCCGTCGGCGGGGCCGCGTGAAAGCCGGGGCGGGGCCGCGTAGAAGCCGGGGCGGGGCCGCGCGAGAGCAGGCGGCGGGGCCGCGAAGGAGCCGGGGCGGGGCCGCGTGAGAGCAGGCGGCGGAGCCGCGTAAGGGCCTGGGCGGGGCCGCGACAAAGCTGTCGGCGGGGCCGCGTGAAAGCCAGGGCGGGGCCGCGTAGAAGCCGGGGCGGGGCCGCGCGAGAGCAGGCGGCGGGGCCGCGAAGGAGCCGGGGCGGGGCCGCGTGAGAGCAGGCGGCGAGGCCGCGACAGAGAGGGCGGCGGGGCCGCGTCAGTGAAGGCGGCGGGGCCGCAGGGGAAATGGCGACCCGAGGGGTCGCTAAAAAAAAAAGATCGCGCCTCGGGGGGCGCTTCGGTGGGCCCAAAAAAAAAAAAAAAACGGTCCGTAGAAGGACCCGCTCTATACCATGTGAGAATAAGCGAACAGGAATGGATGAACTAGCAGTGAAATGAGTACAAGTAGGAAACCCTAGAATTGTGTACCCCCTATAGGCTAACCCACTGTAGCCTACACAAGCATAACATATATAATGTTTGACACAGGTTCCCTACGGGTTTTATTATTTTTGCCGTGCGTTTCTAACTTTCCGAATTTGTGACACGTGGGTGAATGTGGGACCGAGTTCTGTGTTGTTGCCATAACTTTCCTCTCGGAGTGGCGGAGGGGCGGAAAGTGCTCGCGATTAGCACTGTAGTCTCCTTGAAAGCGCAGGGTCGCTAGTAGCACCTCTACGAAAGCTACTTACCCCATTTCCTTTGACTCCACAAACAAGCTCTTCATGCAACACAAGTGTGTTCAAGCGGATACACTCGGGGTACACGTCGCAAATTACGATTCCGCGTACACCCTCTCTCTCGCCAGACTGACAATGGGAAGCGCTGGCTACAATGCGTACTGTTGCTTGGACCCTAGCGTACTGTTGCTTGGACCCTAGCGTGTCGAAATATTTTGTCATGTTTTATAATTGCTTGTAGTTGTAGTTAGTGTAGTTATGTAAACTTTTGTTGGTGGTGCACCTTATTTTGTTTCTATGCTATATGTACCCCTGAACCTATAGTGAAACCACCTTTTCACCAATTTCTCTCTCAACTCACTCGACATCGCTCCTAAGGAAAATACCGCTCGATACCTAAGTTCGGGCCTAGGCTACTAAGCCTAGGCCCCACCTTTTAACTCTTCATTTCTATTACTCTCGACATGTTATCGGAGCTTAGTGTTCGTCCTGGCCTGTGGGCCCGCTTTACTTCCGCTGCTAAGATTTTACGGTCGCGCGCCTAGGGCGCGTGACGGTTTTATTTTTACCTTGTCCCGCCCACGGGCGTGTGACTCCTTCCCTGCCCGTCGCGCGCCCCGTGGCACGCGACGGTGCCCTTCTACTGCCCATCGTGCGCCCCGTGGCACACGATGGTGCCCTGCTCGTCGTGTGCCCCGAGGCACACGATCGGGCCCTTTTATTCTACCCGTCGTGCGCCCCGTGGCACTGGCCCGCGACGGGCCTTTCCGCCCCTGCACTCCCTGCTGCCGCCCCTGACCCATCTGCACCGACGCCTCTTCGCCGCTCTGCGGCTTTCTTCCTTCCCACCCCCCCCTTTCTCTTGTCTCCCTGCAGCCGTGGGGAGGAGGGTATGGGGGTGGAGGGTGTTGGAGCGTGGGGTCAACTCTCTCCCTTTCCCTCCTCCTTCTTTCAGTCCCACCGCTGCAGCTGCCGCTGGGGGAGGAGGGTGTGAGGATGTGGGTGAGGAGGGGGAGTGGTACCGGGGTGGCGGGTGTGAGGCAACAAGCAGCCGTCCCTCCACCTCTCCTCTCTTCCCCCTTTCTCTGCTGCTTCTGCAGCAGTGTGGGGGAGGGGATGGAGGAGGGTGAGGAGATGGTAGGGGTACCTGCTGTTGCTGTAACTACATACCTACCTACAAGCATTATGGGGGCGTGTCGAAATATTTTGTCATGTTTTATAATTGCTTGTAGTTGTAGTTAGTGTAGTTATGTAAACTTTTGTTGGTGGTGCACCTTATTTTGTTTCTATGCTATATGTACCCCTGAACCTATAGTGAAACCACCTTTTCACCAATTTCTCTCTCAACTCACTCGACATCGCTCCTAAGGAAAATACCGCTCGATACCTAAGTTCGGGCCTAGGCTACTAAGCCTAGGCCCCACCTTTTAACTCTTCATTTCTATTACTCTCGACATAGCGATCTGGTGCTTGCAACCGAATGCCAGATAGGTGGCGGGCAAATGCACTCCAGAGGAACGGTACACAACGTTTTATGGAAGAAAAATTGCGTTTCCGTACGGTTGAGTGCGGCAAATGTGCTCATATGGTATGTTCTGGGACTATTCTGGACGCATTAATGTCAGTATAGCCAGTCCGTCAATATAGTAAAGGTAAAGGTTATGGGGAAACCCCCTTGGTATTACCTCGGCTGTCGGTCGTAACCCGCCTACCCATTTGTTTCCACGCCTCGCTGGGTAACGAGGTTAATGTATCCACTCCCAGATGAGCACATGTGTAACCCCCTTCTGGGGGGCTGGCAGAACACGCCGCAGGGGGGATTTGATCCTGGGACCTTATCCTTCGGAAGTGAACCAGCTAACTAGCTGGGCCACTTCAGGATCCGGTGCGTCAATATGGCCAATGTCAGTCTGGCGAGAGAGAGGGTGTTTTTTTTGCGCAAAAAAGCTATGGGTTTTTTTTTTGTTTTTTTTTTCAAAAACGTTGGCAGCAGGCCTGTTGTTTCGTTTTGGGCCCCCCGGACAAATCAGGGGGCCCGGCATGTATGACCCTGTATTTAGCAGGGCTGGGGCGAATCTCGGCCCTTTAGGCTTCAGGGATAGAAATTTTTCCTCCCTTGAATCAGGTTTGGCGCGAAAAAATCGGGAGCCTCATTTCAACTACCAAGCTTACAACTACGTTTGAGATCAACGACAAGCAAGCAAACACGACAAGAAGAGAAATAGTTAGCGTCATATCACTACGCACGCTTTGCAGGCTTCCTAGCCTTTGCAGAACGGATGATCGTCTGCACATCTTTACTACCCAACCTTCAGGGTAGTTCTTGTGCACTTCTACCCAACCTTAGACGTCACCCACTCCACAGAGAGCGAGCTGTGATTGGTTTAAGCACAAGTTCTAGGCTGAGTTGAGTTTGTGGCCCAACCAAGCAACTCGAAATTGCCTTGTTGGATGCAATCAGGTTAGAAACGAAGGGGAAGGAGAGGGAGGAGTGTTGGGTGGGGGGAGGGGAGTGGAAGGGGGGTCTCGAGAGATTTTGTTCCAGGGCTCGCCTAAAATCTGCCCTTTACACACCAAGCCTGAGCCCGAAATCAACCCTGTAAAGAATCAGGGCCAGAATATTTCCAACCCATCAATTTCAGTTTTCAAGGGCAGCCCAGCCCTGGAATTCAAGGTCCAGCAGGGCAAACGCCCTGCAAGCGACAGCCCTGGTTGGCAGCATCACAGCCCTAGCGCTGAAACCCCCTGCACCGTCACCGTCACCGTCACGAACACACACAAAACCAGAGGAAACGACAGCACGAGAGGGAGTAGATGCTACAGTTTTCAGATTCGCGAATCCTTTCCCCGAATCTTGTTCCCGATTTCCTTTGGAAGGAGGGATGCAGTGCGGTCGCGCGGCAGAAGCATTCCCTCCCGCTTGCTCCTCGAGCCGGAGGGGGTGTACAACGCATACCGCTCGATCAGTTGCCGGAACCGTCGGACAAATGCTGCCGATTGGTTGATTTGTGAATGTGTGGATGTGAACAACCTGGCACGCGGTATTCAAATGCGCGTCGTCCCTATCTCTGTCCTGCTGGAATGCCAGCCAAGTCCGAACACTTGATGTGTTCGGATGAATTCGGCTCTTCTCGGTCTGCGTATGTTGAACCAGTTGCTCCGTGGTTCCGCAGACCTTTGACCACCAAAGAACCCACAAGGCAACGAGTGGTCCTCACATAGCCACTCTGCCTGGAGCAAGCCACATGAACATTCGATTTCGAACCTCATCCACCAGCAACACCGTCCCTCGCCGTAACAAATCGTTCTGTGACATACTTAACAATTCTACGCCAAGCTCTCACACAACAGACTAGAACCGTACAAGCACAGCAGCTGGACATAGAAAAGGCGAGAGGCCTCAGACCTTACTACTTTCCACGACACCGAACAAGCAGCGTAGGTCTCACGACAGAAAACTGCATTTTCCGTTTCTCTGCTAGTTACCGCCGTGCCTGTCGGGACGATTTTACCTTCTGAAGGTCATCTGAAGTTCTTATAGGAGCGTCATTTTCTGTATGTAGACGCTCACGGTCAACAATAAACAACAGTTTATATCCGAAAAACAGAGTCTACGTTTTTTTTTTTACCTGCATTCCAGTACCATCTTGTGGTCTGGGTCTCTCCACGACACTCTGGGAAGTAAAGCGACATTCTTGTCCAAATGGAGTCTTTCAAAAGAGTAAAGCTCGGCACAAATGAGTTTGCGTACTCGCAGCCCGCATTCTTCGGTGTTCCGTCTCTCCATTGCAACAACATCTCGAAGCCGATTTCTACTTTCGGCGACAAGAAAGCCCCAGCCTCTGCGATTTTCGCAGACGCGGTGGCGCCGCAAGCGCAGACATTTTCCCGCGACGTTCAACGACCCGTCGCCGGCGACGGCTGCGACTCAGCGACGACGCGTCGCACGTGCCACTTCGATCACGTGCCCGACGAGCTAGTCGCGGAGATCGCGCGCTGCGTCTTCGCTAAAGCGCAATCGGCGGCGGACGTCGCGGGGATGCTCGTGACGTGCAGGCGGTTCAGCAGCGTTTGCCACCTTGCCGCCAGCTGGTCGCTACGCGCCTCGGCCGCCATCGAAATGCTTCTGCCGGCAGACGCGGCGCGATGGACGGCGGCGGCGCAACGCCTGCTTCTGAGCGCCGCAGCAGAAGGCAACCTCGAGGCGATTTACGTTGTGGGCATGGTGAGCCATCATTTGCCGACTCGGGGCATTGTTCGTTCGCGCAAGCATTTTCCCTCCCCGTCGACTCACCGACATTTCTTTCTATTTACCACCGTGTTTTGAGTCTAGACTTACTAACTCCCCCACTTCCCCTCCGCCTCCCCGCGCATTCTTCCCCCTTCTTCCCTTCCAGATCTCCTTCTACTGCCTCAACAATCACTGGGCGGGCGCAAAGCTCCTCGCGCAGGCGGCGGAAGCGGGGCACGGCGCGGCGATGTACTCTCTCGCGATAATCAACTTCCACGGCAGCGGCGGCGCGGCGGACGACGCGAATCCCGAGGTCGGCGTGGAGCTAAGCTGGCGCGCCGCGCGGCTCGGGTTCCTCCCCGCGTTACAGGAACTCGGGCATTGCTTTTTAGACGGGTACGGCGTCGCGCAAAGGACGTCCTTGGGGCAGCTGCTGCTGCAGCACGCGGCGGCGGGGCTGGCGGAAGCGGACCGGCGGAGAAATGCGAAGGTCACGCCGCGCTCCGCGCCCATTTCCCCCGAGTGCGCGGAAGCAGGAGCGGCGCGAGTGGAGGTTCTGCAGGAGGGGACGCGGAAGCCGCAGCCGCAGACGCAGCAGCGGGAGCTCCGCAGCATCGGCCGCTCGCGCAGCTGGCCGCAACGCCTTGTTTCTTCCCCCGTCGGCGCAGTCTCCGCCTCCGCCTCCGCCCGCGCGCGCGCGTGCGCGAGGGGTGACTGTAACGCGAGAAGTGACTGTAACGAAGCGTGCGGCAGTGGGATGCTGCGAGGCGCTGACGCTGGAGGCGCGAGGCTTAGGGGAGATGTGACTGTAGAGAGAAGAGGGAACAGCGACGCTAGAGGCGAGGGGGAAGGAAAGGACGAGGGGGGGATCAACTGTTGCGATGACGCGCAAGGGGAGGAGCGGCAGAGGCTTAGAGAGGCGGAAAGCACGCAAGCGCCATCGGAACGGGGAGCTGACCAAACCCTGGTTTTCTCTCTCTGTTCCGAGGAGGAAGAGAGAGAGGAGGGGCAGGAGGGGCAGAAGCGGCAAATGGAGGAAGAGGAGGAGGATGCAATGGGAATGATGCTGCTGCTGGAAGAGATTACAAAGGAGAGAGGCGTGGAGGATGCAGAGGGAAAGCAGGAAAACGAGCTGGGAAGCCAAGAATTTGAGCCTTGCTCTTTGTCGCTTGAACTGTCCCTCTCGCCGCCTTCACCTGTGTGTGAATCAACAGGTGCAACTGCTAATGCGGCTGCGGCTGCTGCTGCTGCTGCAGATGCTCTAGCCGGCATCCTGAGAAGCTATGGGGTTGGATGTGGGGAGGACCAAGACTTTTGGATAGACTCAGAGGATGATGAGAGTGATGGGGAGGAGGATGAGGGGGTGGAGGAGGAGAGTGAGGAGGAGGAGGAGAGGGAGGGTGCATCAAGCAGCCCACTGCCCTCTGCTGTATCCTTTGCCTCGCTCGCCTTTATTCGGCAAATGCTCCCTCTTACCACCTCTCCTGCTGCTGTTTCGGCCGCTGCCACCGCTGCTGCCACTGCTCCAGCTGCCCATGTTAGAAGATCAGCATTTGCAGCTACCCCGGCTGTAGCAGCCACATCAGCAGCAGCCACGTCAGCAGCTGCCGCATCCACCGCCGCCCTCCAGCTGGCGTTTCCGCGCCCGCAAGCCGCCCATCGCGTGCACGACTTCCTCGCCAGCTGGCACGCGCTGCGCTCGCTGCCAGCTGGCAGGCGCTGCTGCGGTAACCCTGCGTGCTGCCGCCCGGAGACGAGGGAGAACGAATTCAGGAGTTGTGTGCGGTGCGGAAAGGCAAAGTACTGTAGCCGGTCGTGCCAGGTGGCCGATTGGAAGTTCAGGCACTCCTTCATCTGCTGCCCTGAATAAGACTTAGTTTTTGAGACGCTTCACGAGAAAATTCAGGAAGTTTGGGGCATTCTTTCATTTGCTGCCCGGGCTCCGGGTGTCACTGCAAGCTAGCCTTCGACGCCTCACGCATAGCAAGCTGCAATTTGCTATACTTGGCACAAGGTACCGCAGATACCGGTAGGAGGTGGGGCATTACTATATGGAAGGCGAGCATGCATAGGATACATACCACATTAGTATGACATGTCTTTTGTAGAGCGGAATGGGTTGCCTGGTATATAAATAGGGAAAGCCATATTTTTTCTGCTTGAAGCGAACCAGCAGAGCTTGCAGGAGTACGTACGAGAAGACGTCGCCCGAATTCCTCCGCGGAAACCCGTTCGCCCCTGCGGGTTTTCCTCGGAGGGATTTTCGTTTTCCCTCTGTCGCGTGGCGGGGCACGTGAGGGGCGGGAGCCACCACCCCCCCCCTCCCACCCGAAAACGGGCACCCCCAGCTGGCGCCAGCTGCCGATTACGCCAGCAGCCCGCGCCCTCGAGCTGGCAGTGGTCCCCCTCCCCACCGAGCCCAACCCCTCGCTCGGTTCATGGACGGGTTCCGTCCGGTAACCCGCCCATCCCTCGCCGAGCGACGTATCGCCGACGGAACCAGTCGGCGAAATTTCGCTGGCCGGACGACATCGACGCCCATCTGCGCCGCGCTCCACCGCTCTCGCCCTAGACGGGCCCGTTTCGTTCAACCCGCACGATCTTGGTGACGTGTTGAAGGCCCCCTCCCGAACCTTGGAAGGGGCCTTTCAGCTGCACGCAAGGCGGCCCACCCCATGCAACCAACAACCACGTTTCACGTCGACGCGAATAGGGCCCCACCGGCCTCCGCGAAGAGCTCCTCCCTCCTCCTCCAGCGTCTCGGAACGCGCCCTGCCTCCTCGCCCTTGAACCCCCTTGGTCCGTCGCGGTGGGAGGGATGGCAAACAGCTAATACCCTTCGTCCGGTCTCATTTTGTTGGTGTTTCCGATTTCTACTTCCCTACTTCCTAGTCCCTGCTAGTTCCCGACTCCCCTGCACGCCCGCCCTCTCCACTGCTAGGCCTGACATGGCTACGAGCTCCGCCTCTGTACCCGTCATGAATGAGGCGACGGTTCAACGCGGCCTCATCCTTAGTGCAGGCGGGGTCGAGGTGGAGGTGTACGAGGACCAGCTGAATGCGATTAGAGAGGCGCCGAAAGGGGAGCTCGACGAGAGCATGATGGTCGCGGGCGTCGTGTACGTGTCATGTCGAACATTTTCGGTTTGCCATGTTTGGGTTTACCAATCGCTGACGTTGCCTTAGCTTTCCGTGCAGCCTGTTCTGTCATGAGCTGCTGTCCGTCGAGCAGCTCCCCAAGGTGTCGATCGTGACTCCAGCGCGTGCGCGTGAAGAGATGGCACGTCCCAGCCCGGTCGCTTTTGCGAACAACCACCTCGACGGCCTCCTCGGCAAGCAAGTGGTTTTCGTTCTGCAGCGGACACCGTGAGTTCGACACTCTACCGTCGCCTACTCTCCCGTCGCCTTGCGTGCTCCGTCTTTAGCCCTGAACCCGTTCTCACGTGCATTGGCTCTGCATGCAGACTGAGTGTGCCTCCGTTCTCCCACTCGAGCCTGTTTGTGGTATCGCGCCCCGACGATCTGCTGGCTCCGAGGCACCGTGGCAGTCGAACTCGAATGATGCACTTCGATTCGAAAGACAAGTTTCCCGATATGAACCACCAATCTTCTCTGGCGCAAGAAGTTTTCGTGTGAGTGACAGCTTTGCCACCCTGCTGTCGAGCTGCTGTTCTCGACAATCTTACTCTTCTGTCCGCTGCGTCGCAGGTGGATGAAGAAGCAGCTTCCCGCCGAGTACGCGATGACCCACCAGACTCTGACCGAGGACGACCAAGAAGTGTTGAACGTGATGGACCTTCGTCTGGAGTTGAACGAGGATTTCGACCATTTGGTAAGCTCTCCTTAGACCACCAGTGTTTTCGTCGAGCATGTGTTTTGTCGCTTACGTATGTTTTGTACCCGTCGCAGACGACGACGGCCTTGTCAAGCCCCTATCAAAACGGCGCGGCAGCTCGTGTCGTGCATGGGGTGCGCCGAATTCTGACGAAATGGGACGACTTCATCCTATAGCCTCGAAAAGGCGAACTCGTGCATCTAGGGAGAACGAACCCTGGCCCGGATGTGCTTCCGTTGTTCATGGTCAAGCTGTTTTCAAGAAAGATCGACCAGCTGGCGGAGGGAGCAGGTGTGGGAGGGGGTGCCGACCACGAGGGAGGAGGCGATAAGACGGGACGCGTCGTGATTGAGTACAGCGTCGAGGAGGAGGAGGAGATCGAGGAGGATACATCGAGGCAGGCTCAGCACGGGGCGAGCGGCCCGGGCGGCGATGCGAACCAGGACGAGGACTCGAGCTCGGGAACGAGCTCCGACTCGAGCTCGAGCGATGAGTCGGCCGAGGACGACGGTGAGGGCGCCGGACATAGAACGGAGCGTACGGGGGAGCACGGAGTGGCGCTCGGGGAGCGGGTGGACGAGCAAGTAGAGCTTATCGAGCAGCAGGCGACAGGGGAAACTAAGGCTGTCGAGGAGCAGGAGGGCGGAGCGGCTGCTCAGGAGGGTGGGGTCGGAGGGCAGCGGCAGGTGGTGGGCGAGGCGGGTGCGCAGGAGGGCGGGGCAGGAGGGCAGCAGCAGGAGGGCGTGGCGGCTGCGCAGGAGGGTGGGGCAGGAGTGCAACAGCAGGCGTTTAGGGTTGCGGCTGCGCGGGTGGGTGGGTCGGAAGGGCAGGAGCAGGAGGACTGGGAGGCTGCTGAGGAGTATCGTCGAGGAGATGAGCGATAGGCCGCCGTAACAAGGAGTCACCGCACGGCCAGTGGCAGCGGACAGGCGGGCCCTTCGACCGGGTGGCCTTCGACGGCAGGCCAATCGACGGCGAACGTTTCACCGGGAGGCCAGGTCGTCGAGCTACTGCAGAGGGTCGAGAAGGTCGAGGCGTCGCAGAAGCAGCTCGTCGCCGATGTCTTTGCGAAACACACAGAGCAAGCCGGAGTATTCAACAGGCTTGCTGCGGATTTTCGGACGGCGTGGAATACGATTTCGGAGTCGTCGAAGAGCACACTGTCGCAGTGCGCCGAGGCTGTGAAGGGTGTCACGGCGGAGAGGAACCTGTTGGAAGGGGCGCGGCCGAAGATCGACGAGATGAGCGAGAAGATCATCGAGGGGGTGGCAGCCGCCATCACAAAAGCGAGCGAAGACGCCGTCGAGAAGCAGCTCAAGCAGGTTGAGGAGCGGCTGGTTGCTGCGGTGCTGAAGGGTTTCGAGAAAGCCATCATGGAGGACATGTTATGCTCCACCTTCCCACCCGAGACCATGAAGGAGCTGAAGAACATTGTGAGGGAAGGCTACCATGAAGCCGAAGCAGGGAGGTTGGAAGTCCTCACCGAAGCGATGGCGAGAGGTTATCAACGCTCGGCGGGCCCGTCGACGAGGTCGCGTCAGGAGGGTGTGGGAGGGGTTCGCAGCGGGGCTGAGCCTCGTGGTCACGAGCAGTCGGTTCCTCCGTCTTCTTCGGTGGGAGGACATGTCGGCAGCCCGGTTGGATCCCCACCGGCGCGTGGCCGTCATCCCGTCGCCAAGCCCGTCGAGGAAGTCATCGTACTCGACCAGTCGCCCCGCCCGAAGACCTCCGTAGCGGCTCCGATCGATCCACCTGATGCGTTTGCTTCGATGCGGGACATGCTGCAAGGCCTAGGGAAAACGGGTGGGAAAGGAGTGGTCGCGGGGGAGAAAAGTGGTGCCCCGAACGAGGACGTCGCCTCGACCGGGAACAGAGCTCTAGGAATGCGAGGTGCCTCTACCCTGTCAGGCGGCGGTGCGGGGAAAGGAGCGGGAGAAGCAAGCGCTGGGTTGCTGTCGAAGACTAAAGCGGCATCAGCTGCGCAAGGCGGTGGTGCTGGCCTTGCTGTCGGGCTTGTGGGAAATTGGGCGTCTTCCTCGACCCCTCCAATTGCTCCTGACGCCGCTGCTCCGTCCCTAGGCAACGTTTGTCTTAGCGATCCGGGCTCCCCTTCAACGTCGAAGAAGAAGCCGGCTGCGACGAAGTCGTCGAAGCGCGTTGCACACGCGACAGAGAGCCTTGACGTGGTGGAGCTGGCCAGCGTCCCTGGTCAGGCGACTGTCGAGAAAACCTCTATTGTCGTTGCTGCTCGACAGGAAAAGGCGAAGAAGGCCAGGGTCACGGGTCACACCCCACCTCCTCGACCGGACGACCAAGGCAAGACGAGAGGCTGCAAACGTCCGTTCAAAGGACCGGGTTTCGGGTTGCGGAAGGGGAAGCCGGTTTCCGAGCTGACCGTCGGCGGGAGGAAGCGGTTCCTTGGCACTTTTGAAACAGAGAAGGACCAGAAGTTCTATACGGCCGTCTGCTGGCGTGTGTACTTCCCCGACGTTGTCCTTACGGAGTACGAAGGGTACACGGCGCAGGATGAGGAGGACTGGAAGGTCTACCTCGATGCGGCCGCAGAAATGCCAACCGGCGTTTGGAGCGTGGCGCAAGAACAAGGGGAATGTCGTTTTGACGAGTAAGTTCTGTCGAAGTCATGTTGCTAGACTCTGCTGTCGAGTTCCTGCTGTTTTGGTGAATTGTCGAACACCATCTGTTTTGCGGTGAATGTGCTGTCGGTCGAATTCTGGCTTCTTGACTCACGCATTTCTTGCGATGTGCAGTTACATGTCGCTCTTGGCGACGGCAAAAAAGGAAGTGAAAGCTGGAACCGAGAGGGGAATCGTGCTGTGCGTGGCGATTGGTAAGGTCGCGACGCTTGGCCTAAAGCACGGGAATCTGATTTACCCGGTCCCGAAGGGCATGGCGGCGACACCGCACATGATGGCCATCGCAGCAACTGTGGCGAGCTTGTGGGCGGCCAGCAGGAAGTTGTCGAGGGAGGATATTAAGAAGGATGCCCTAGCTGCCGCAAACGCGGCGATCTACGCCCCGGAGACTGCAAAGAAGGCTTGTGTGGCTGCCATGTCCGCACTCGTGTCCATACTTTTGCACGTCGGCAAGACGTTCCCGGCGAAGCAGTGGCCCGATCACCTGTATTCGTCGGCTGTCGAAGGTCTCGGCTCGACGGACGCCATACTGCTGTAGATGCTGCGCGTGGCAGCACAGGTCTGTACGCAATGGTGCTACTGTCGAGCTGCTGCCCGCTTGCTGGAGGACGCGGGCTATGGCAGCCTGGCTATGCCAGAAGAAAAGAGCAAGGCGAAGCAGGGCGACGAGGATGCAGCTGAGACGGAAACGGGCGGGCAAGGGGAGTAGTCTAGGCGGGCACTTTGCGTGGGAGTGTTTGCTATTCTCGACAGTTGTGCTTGTTGTTTCCAAAGTTTAATCGTCAGAATGTACATGCTGCATGGATCTTGACTTTCCGTTTGCGGTAATGCTCAGAAGGTTCATACAGGCGAGATGGTCGGTCAGTAATGAGAACCTGCCATGCAATCTCTAAAAGAACACCCTACTCTAGTTTCGCCCCTCGTCATGATTGCCTGTCGAATTTGGGCTCTCGCCCCATGTTTTCATGAACTCTTTCCATTTGTCTTTGAACACGTTCTCGGCCCATTTCGTGGTTCGAAGCTCGACGCGAATGAGCTCCCGCGTGATCCTGAGGCGATCTTTGTCCTTCCGGTTGTCTTCTGCTGTCTCGACTTTGCGCTTCTTCGTGAGCTGCTTCCCCGAATCCTCTTTCAGAACGAGCCCTTCACCCAGCATGTTGATCGAGTGGTTCGTGACTATTGAGTCAAGCTTATCAATGATCGTCGACGTAGCCGCCCTGCTGTCATCGACCCTGAACATCTCGACGGCCCTCATGACAACCTCCATCTTCCGCAATCTCGACTCGACAGCTTTTGGGGTCGGTGGCTTTTCTTTTGGCTGGTCCACCGCATCGGGGGGAACGGTGGGAGGAGTCGGAGTGAACTTGCTGAACTTGACGGCGAAACCCCTCCTGTAAGCGTGTCGAAGACTGTGTCCGTTGTTCAGCGGGCTTGGCCCGTCCCAGTACGACCACGCCTGCCGCACGGTCTCGCAAGTGCACCACGGCCACACCACTGCGTCGAAGAATGTTTGGTCGAGCTGGCTGCCCTTGCTCTGTTGAGTGGGCGTTGATTGAGGGGGCTGCTGTGGTGGCGGGGTGGTTTCTTCGGTCGCCGTCTGCGGCACACTCTCGCTCCCCCCTACATTCGCAGCTGCGATTGTCGCGGCGGTAATCTTCAGTGCATCGAACGCTTTCTGCAGTAGCGCGAGTGCTTCTACCTTCGCCTCGAACTCCGCTTGCATCGCGCCCTTCTCCCGCACCAATGACTCGACCTTCTTCTCGAGGCCCTTGATCTTGATTTCTTTTTTCCCACCCTCCTCCTTGTGTAAGTTTACCTCTGCCCGAAGTTGCGTGATGAGGTGCTTGGTGTTGAGTTGAAAGGATGCGTCCTGCGCATAAGATCACGAGCGGTAGGTAAGTGGGCTGATGCAATCTGTTCGGATTAAGATTTATAAGGGCCATCTTACTGAGGCTCTCGACAGCGTGGGGTTGGTCCGCATCTCGATGCCGTACTTGTCAAGCAGGTACACGTCAAGCGCCCATTTTTGGAAATCCATATCCTTGCACAAACCGGACATCTGTGCATATGGGTGACGCTCGCAGTCGCAAACAGTCACTCCGTCGAAGGGGTGGTCGTCACAATGGACGTAGTACATCGCAAGATCCTCGGCGATGGGCATTCGGGCGGCTTGCAGGGCCTTCAAGAAACTTTTCGCTGCGAAGAACATATGCTCCTTGTCCTGCTCGTTGTTCCATTCCATCGCCTGAATAAGAACAAACTTGGTGACATTGAGAGATAGATCGAATGCAAAAACTTGCATTCGATGATCACGCTACGCGCTCGACGCATTCATACCTCGTCGAGCCACTGCTCCGCCTTTGGAAATATGTGCTCCTCGATAGCCTTCAGGACCTTCGCGGGTACTTCGGTCTTCGATCTTCCAAGGTAATAGTCACCGGGTTCCTTCGTGAAACCCGCTTGCAGCTGGATGGCCCCGCGCGGGATGCCTGTGACGTATGACCTGCGCATCTCGTTCATGTCCCATTGACCCAGCTGCGCGATGTTGTCGAGTTCACAGTTTTTGTCGGCGAGGATCTGTGCCGCAGACCGTCGAAAGATATGTGTGACTTTCGACAGGATCCACTCCGCGCTTTTCATCGCCCAGGTAACCCATTTGGCATGAGTCGCGTACGGCAACTCGGTCTTGTCTTTGTCGAAGAGGGCGAAGAACAGGTGCTTCTTTGACCAATTTTCCGGGTTGCTGAAATCCAAGGGGGGCACGATCTTATCGTTGTTGTAGTAGAGCGGCACAAGGTCGAAAATGAAATGTATCCACATGAACACTGCTCCGAAGCCGCACTGCCGGAAGTCCATGTGTCGAGTCAGGTACAGGTGGCCGAGCTTGTTGTCTTTGATGGAGTTGCGATAGGCGACCACGAGAACGTGGATAGACGATTCCCCCTTGCTGTTCGTGATGGGCGGAAGGACGTGAGTGAACATATTGCAGTAGCGGATCTCGCGGATGCTTATCCCCCTGCCCAGCATGTGATGCGCCATCAGGATCATCACCCTCACGGCCAAGGCCCTCCACAGCGACTGACTGGGGTAACTCATCGACTCCCGAAAGTACTCCTTGGCCCAGTACGGCAGGATGTCTGAAACGAGAATGCGGAACTGCTCCTCCGTGTAAACATCATTGAGCGAGCCCCGGTGTGGATCGACGCACTGCCTGCATTGGGTGGGCAGATACAGCGAGTACTTGGGTGAGAATTTGAGCGGTGAGTTTTAGAGTCCGGTGTATGGGAGCCTACTTACTCGAACTGAAAGTCGTGCAGCTGCCGCAGCTTGACCGCAAGAAGCTGCCGGGCCTCGGTGATGTCGTCCAAGGGTTTCGTTAGTGGCTCGTCGAAGAGTATGGCCTCTACTCTACAGAAGCACGTCAGCGCAGTAAGGCGCGCCAGCATCATCGGAGGGGTGCTTTTTTTCGCCTTCCTTCCAGCGACTCTGGACCGGCCTGTGTCCAACGATGCCGCCTGTTGGTCGGTTTCAGTCGACATGTATTCGACGTACGCGCGCAACGCCATTTCGTTATTTTTGGCCCATGCAGGTGCTCCTCGTTACGCAGCGCCTCCCTCCATCTCGACCCCATATCGTCGCCGATCTCCCTACCGATCTCGTCCTCGTAGATCACCTGCTCCTCTTTAGGCACTCCGTTGCTTCTCTCGGGTGCCAGAATTTTACAGGCCCAAGCTTTGTAGTGCATGCTTCCAGAGACATAGTCCGGCCGTGTGGAATCCTGATCAACTCCCAGCAGCGGAACCTCACACCGGAGAATCCTGCTTTTAAGTGTTCCGGTCGCCAAGTACGGATTGTCTGCGCCCGGTTGGTCGCCGAGAATGTGCGCGGCATCCTCCTGTGATATATTTGCCGCAGCAGGCCGCAGAGGGTCCGGCGGTCCGACATCGTCCGCCTCCTGCTGTTCTCCCGTCCGAACATCCTCATCGTCCGTCGCTTCAGGGACGTTCCTGGCCAAGTCCTCTCTGCTTGGTCTCGTCGAAGTGCGCCTAGGAGCGGCGGGGGCGGCTCGAGAAGCGGATGTGCGGGCTGGGGGTGGTTGGCGAACCTCTGGCGGAACAGCCCTCGCTCTCCTACGTCGCCCACCTGTCGAGGTCGGTGCACTAGCCGAAGGTTCCGTCGAGCGGTGGGCTGTCGACGATGGTGCACAGTGAGCTGGAGCCTCGTGTGTAAAGGGGGCATTTGTTGTCGAGATGGGTTCTACGACAACAGGTATGGATTGATCTGTCGAAGGGAATTCGGTCTGTGCACCACCCACTTCAACAGTGACCGAAATACCCGTCGAACGCTGGTCCGTAACAACCGGCTGTATTACTACCAGTATGGCTCGCGACGTCGAGGTGGGCGCTGCCACCTCCGGTATGGCACGCGTCGTCGAAGGGGGCGCGGAAGAAACCGGCCTGTCTCTAGACGACGAAGGGGGTGGTGTCGATGTGGACTCCAATTCGACAGGTATACGTCCTACGTCCGCCTCCCGGGAAGGCGCTGTCGTCGACGGATCGGTCTCCATCAGTGCCCACCGAAAGCTACCAGTTCTCCCTAAATCCTGGCGTGCTGAGGAAACAGTGGTGCTTATACTAAGAATTCAGGTTTATACAGCGACATTGGGCTGATGTTGCTCCCCGTGGAGACTGAGACAGCAGTCAGCAGTTGACGTGACCGTTTGACTGCGACTGACGCGACCCGTCGCCCATCCGACAGCGACAGTTCGCTCGACCGACGAGGCGACAGGTCGGCCGCAGTTGACGTCTCCGTCGATTGCGACCGTCGGCCGGCTGCGAAACATGTTTCGCAACCGTCGACCGTCGGCGCCACCGTGTAGGCGATTCCCTGGCGACTTGCCACCGGGTGTAACCAGTGTTGTCGGGGGTGCACGGTGCTCGACGGCGATTGGCCTATGTCCGTCGAGCACTGTTCGACAAATGTCCCCGAAATTGCAACAGTGCGGCCGACATATATATTGGCATAAGAATACGACATTGAACCCGCGGGTTTCTGCGGGTTTTTTTTGCCTGGTCAGCCGGGAATTTCCGGGGGCCCGGAGGGATTCCGCGGGTTTTTTGATTTGCCTCGATTCCCTCTGTGCCAGGGCGGGCGGGGCGGCATGTGCTGACGTCACCCGTGTGTATATAATCGGGTAATACGCTGATTGTACATGTATGCATCACAAATCGAGCACTTTTGCAACGCATTTGCTGGGGTGTTGCTCCATTTGCACTCCGATCCAAGCAAGCTTCATTTGTGTGGGGCGATTCATGCTCCCTGCTGGCTGATTCTTTCCACGTGGATCACGTCCTCCGCGTGTCGCTTTACTCCGCTTACACGTGCCGCCTCAAATTGCTTCAGTGCAGTACCGCTCTGAAACGTAACACACCCAACGGAAACAAGATGCATCACATGATTCTAGAAGGAATCCGCCAAATACCCCTAGAGGATTGATAGGGAAGGGAGACACCATCAGGCTAGACTGAAACGTCCAAACCAAGTAGCAGGTGCTTTTAAAGTAAATTTCTAGATTCTTTAGTCACAGCCTGATCATTCTGTGCCTTGCGCGCCCAGTACTTCAAGCGTGGCCCGACGCCATGGAGTCCCTCGTTTCGCGGCAACTTCGTGCCACATTGCCAGCCTGGGAACGAAATTCGCTCCGACCTTGCCGCGGATTCGCTCCGTCCAATGTGGCGCGATTCGCGACATTGCGGCACGAGCGCTCCGCGCGAGCGACGGAAAGACCACGTCGGCGGGATTTGTCTGTGCGAGCGGAAGCATCAGCCGACTCGGGCGCGCCGACCGTTGCTCAGGCTCCTTCGGACCGCGTCACTCGTAAGCCTGGGGCGAGTCACATTAAGAGACCTTTGAGTCGACTCGAATGTCGGTGTGAATGAACTAAGTAGCAACTTATTTGAACACGCCCATTCGATCTATTTCGACTGATGCTCTGGCTCCTTCGGATTGTGTTACTCGTAAGTGTAATCGTGTTACTTGAGAGTCACACGGATTGGACTTACGTTTCCTATCCGCGGTGCCTTCTGGATTGAACCTCGGTTTCCTATTGTAGACTGTTTTGAGTGGCGCGTGACACACGCTAGACTGCTGCTGCAACGATTCCTGGCTGCAGCTGGCAAGTAGGACTGGCTACTCTAGCACGTGGGGTGAGCACGTGGAATGAGCACGTGGGATCTTGTCGTTTTGCCACGCGGTGAACGGCATGTGGCAGAGCAGCAGCGGGGCGTGGGGACAGGTGCTTATGTAACGCACTCACCAGCCAGCCGCTTTCCTCCCTTCTCCCCCACCTCTTCTTATCATTCCAACAGTGGAACAGGGAAAGGACAGCCTTGACTTTTGCCGTGTGGTGAACGGCATGTGGCAGAGCAGCAGTGGGGCGTGGGTCGTGGGGGCAGGGGCTTGCTTAGCGCACTCAACAGCGGCTTTTCTCCCTTCTCCCCCAGCTCCCCCCAACATGCCAACAGTGGAACAGGGAAAGGGCAGCCTTGACATCTGCCGTGTGGTGAACGGCATGTGGCAGAGAAGCAGTGGGGCGTGGGGGCAGGCAGGGGTCTTATAAGGCCCTTCGATACTCTCCGTTCCCCTCCCCTGCGTGGTGACAGTGGAACAGGGGGACGATTCTTTGGACATCTGCCGCGTGGTGAACGGCATGTGGCAGAGCAGCAGTGGCGCGTGGGGGCAGGCAGCCCCAGATGCAGTGGTGACTGCGATGCTGCAGCATGCTGACGCCGGGCTGACCACATTCGACATGGCCGATATATGTGAGTAGAAGGGGGTGTGTATATGTATATAGGGTGAGCTTAAAAGGGGGACACGTGGGGAATGGGGGCAGGCGGCGCCAGATGCGGTGGTGACTGCGATGCTGCGGCATGCTGATGCCAGGCTCACGACTTTCGACATAGCCGATGGATGTGAGTGCATGTTTGAGTAGAGTGGGTTTGGTGGGAGCTTGTAGAAGGTGCGACTTTTGAGAATTCTCAAAAGTCGCACCAATAAGGGGGAGAAGCATTAGAGCCAAGTGGAGGCTCACAGCAGCACTGGATGCGGTGGTGAATGCGATTCTGGCGCTGGGCTCACCACCTTTGACATGGCTGATATATGTGAGTATTTCTTTATGAAGTGTAGAATGCGAGCGTTTAATGGGTGATATTATAAGGGGGACGAACAGCAGGGGCGCGGCGTGGGGACAGGCAGCGCCAGATGCGGTGGTGACTGCGATGCTGCAGCATGCTGATGCTGGTCTCACCACGTTCAACATGACCAATATATGTAAGTATAAGGGAGTGTGTATGAGTGTATTGGGTGATTCTATAAGGGGTACAATCAGCAAAGGTGCTGGGTGATACCTTATTCACTACTTTGAATCTCCTTGTGCTCTCTGTCTTCTCTCTGTCTCACTACTCTGAGAAGACATCTTTGAGGGAGGGTGCTCTCTGTCTTCTCTCACCTCCCTCTCCTCCTCCCCCAGACGGCCCTGCAGAGAGCTATTATGGAGCGATGATTGACAGGCTTAGGAGGGAGCGAGGGGAGGAGGCTGCATTTGGCGTGCAGGGGTGAGTGTGGGTGTGTCTGGAATTGTGTGTGTGAGTGATTGAGTGTGTGGATGGATGACTGTGGTGAGTGCGTGGGTGCGTGCGTGGGTGAATGGCTGTGTGGGTGGGTGTATGGGTGGGTTTGTGGGACGTTTCCCCCTCCCCTCTTTGGCCCCTGTCGAGACGTCTCCCCCTCCCCTCTTGGGCCCCTGTCGAGACGTCTCCCCCTCCCCTCTTGGGCCCCTGTCCTCCGCTTCTCCGCTCTTCTCCCTTCTGCTCGTCTTCTCCCCTGTAAACCAGTTGCCCTAAGTTCGTGCCCAAGCCTGACCCCATGACCCTTTTGAGACGTCTCAAAAGTCGTCTGCTCGTCTTCTCCTCTGTAAACCAGTCTCTCCAAGTTTGTCCCAAGGCTTGACCGCATGACCCGTGATGTGGTGAAGGTGGCGAGTCAACTTTGAGCAGCCTGCCTTTCAGGGAGTTTTTGAGAATTCTCAAAAACTCCCTTTGAATAGTCTGCCTTTGAATAGTCTGCCTTTGAATAGTCTGCCTTTGAATAGTCTGCCTTTGAATAGTCTGCCTTTGAATAGTCTGCCTTTGAACAGTCTGCCTTTGAATAGTCTGCCTTTGAATAGTCTGCCTTTGAATAGTCTGCCTTTGAATAGTCTGCCTTTGAATAGTCTGCCTTTGAATAGTCTGCCTTTGAATAGTCTGCCTTTGAATAGTCTGCCTTTGAATAGTCTGCCTTTGAATAGTCTGCCTTTGAATAGTCTGCCTTTGAATAGTCTGCCTTTGAATAGTCTGCCTTTGAATAGTCTGCCTTTCTCCACCCTCCCCACTCTTCTCCCCTTCCGTTCCCCTCTCATTTGAACTCCAGTTGCTCCTCTCCCACCCACCAGTCTCACCAAGTTCGTCCCACGCCCTGACCGCGTGACCCGACACGTGGTGGAGGTGGCGATTGATCGCTCCTGTGCCTGCCCAACCCCTACCCCGTCTCCCCACCCACCAGTCTCACCAAGTTCGTCCCACGCCCTGACCGCATGACCCGTGACGTGGTGGAGGTGGCGATCAACCGCTCGCGCACGCGCATGCAAGTGAAGACCATCGACCTGCTGCAGTTCCACTGGTGAGACGAGGCGAGATACAATGTGTGCAAGTGCTTTGAAGCCAAGTGAAGCTGGTTAACCGTTCTTGCACTCGCACGCGCATGCAAGTGAAGACCATCGACCTGCTGCAGGTCCACTGGTGAGATGAGAGGAGAGGAGACTGGATGAGGGGAGATGTGTGATTTGCATGGCTACATGACTCTATCTATCTGTGACGTGGTGGAGGTGGCGATCAACCGCTCCCTCACGCACGTGCATGCAAGTCAAGACCATTGATCTGCTGCAGTTCCACTGGTGAGGTGATGAGGTGAGGAGATAGCAAGGTGAAGTGAAGTGGGTCAAGTCATATTGACTGCTCCCTCACGCGCATGCAAGTGAAGACCATCGACCTGCTGCAGTTCCACTGGTGAGCTGATGGGGAGTTGGGGATGAGGTGCGATGTACAAGTGCGTTGAAGCCAAGTGAAGCCGATTAACCACTCCCGCACGCACATGCAAGTGAAGACGATTAACCACTCCCGCACGCACATGCAAGCGAAGACGATCGACCTGCTGCAGTTCCACTGGTGAGATGGCATGGCATGGCATGGCATTAGATGGGGCACAATGTGCAAGAGTGCTACTTCCCTCAGTGTGTGTGATTCCTCAACACAACTCATTTTGTTGTCGTGGTGAGTGCAGAAGAGGGCAGGAGAGGGCAGGAGAGGGCAGGAGAGGGCAGGAGAGGGCAGAAGGAGGGGAAGATGATCAGGCCCAAGGCTATCTTGTCTTGCCATCTCATGCCCCCCCCCCTTCCTGTTCTCCCAATAATCTCCTATCCCCGTCGCTCTCTTCATTCCCAGGTGGGATTTCAGAAACCCTGGGTATCTGGACACGTTGAAGCACCTCACAGACCTCAAGTCAAGAAGGAGTGGAACATCAGAGCACCGCATCTCCTCTTTTCTCGCCCCCCTCCCTTCACTCTATCGTTCACCACCACCTGGCGGCACTATACCAACCCTGGGTATCTGGATGCATTGAAGCACCTCACAGACTTCAAGGAGGAGGGGAAGATTAAAGCCATCTCATGCCCTCCCTTCCTTTTTGCTGCTTCTCAGGTGGGACTATGCCAACCCTGGGTACCTGGACGCGTTGAAGCACCTCACAGACCTCAAGGAGGAGGGGAAGATTAAGGCCATTGGACTCACCAACTTTGACACCACGCGGCTGCAAGTGATTCTTGAAAATGGCATTCCCATCGTCAGCAACCAGGTATGCGGCGTCTTTTCGTTTTGAGCCCTTGATAGCCCTCCATTCCCAACGCTTCCCTGCCCCCCACTCCATGCCAATCTTCTTCTCACCAGCGTTGACACCGCCCAGCTGCAAGTGATCCCGGCTGAGGAGTGATAATTCATTTATTTATTCGGATGAAGGACAAATGTGCCTGCTGGTTTTGAGAGGGCATTCGGATGAAGGATGAAGGTGCCTCTTCTCTCACACCACCCCATCCTCTCACAACTTAACCTAACCTAATCCCTTAGTTCTTCCATCCGACCAAACCCCGTTGCGCTTCAAACCCTCATCCCTCTGTGCCTGTGCAGCACGGTCTAGAGGACATGCGCCCTCAGCAGCAGCAGATGGCTCGAGGCACCTCCTCTCTTGCCTCACCCCATTCCCTTCACATTTCAATCCTTCTGTTTCTTCCCATTCTCAGGTACAGCACAGCCTGGTGGACATGCGTGCAGCCGCAGCAGCAGATGGCTTGAGGCGCCTCTTCCCTCCCTTCCCCCACCCACCTGATCCCTTCACAACCGAACTCAATCCCCTCTTGCCTGAAACCCTCATCCTCCCTGTGCTTCAAACCGCAGGTACAGCACAGCCTGGTGGACGTGTGGCCGCAGCAGCACATAAGTTGATCACCCCATCTCCACCCTAACCCAACCCCCATTGCCCTAATCCCGTTCTCCCCTGTGATTCTCACTGCAGGTACAGCACAGCCTGGTGGACATGCGGCCACAGCAGCAAATGGCTCAGCTCTGTGCTCTTACAGGGGTGCAGCTTATAACGTGAGTGGCTTATAACGAGAGTTGAATTTTGCGAGTGGCTTATAACGAAGTTGATTTACGTGAGTGGCTTATAACGAAGTTGATTTACGTGAGTGGCTTATAACGAAGTTGATTTACGTGAGTGGCTTATAACGAAGTTGATTTACGTGAGTGGCTTATAACGAAGTTGATTTACGTGAGTGGCTTATAACGAAGTTGATTTACGTGAGTGGCTTATAGTGAGCGTATGCACATGACTGAGTAAGAGCACGAGTACATGGTACGAGCACGAGTACATGGTACGAGCACGAGCCGGGTGTGGCCCCTTCAGCATGTGGGGTGCACGAGTGAGTGAGTGAGCGAGTGAGTGAGTGAGTGAGTGAATGAGTGAGGGAGTGAATGAGTGAGGGAGGGAGTGGGTGAGGGCACGAGTGCATGGCACAGAGTTTGGTGCAGCCACAGCAGCAGATGGCAAAGCTTGGTGGTCTTACCGCACTCGATCTTATTTAACTTAGGTGGAATGTTTTGAGACGTCTAAAAATTGGTGGAATGGAATCCTGTGTTCATAGTGTGTGAGAGCATGAGTACAGTACATATGCATGGTATGGATGTATACATATGTGTACATATGCATGGTATGGATGTATACATATGTGTACATATGCATGGTATGGATGTATACATATGTGTACATATGCATGGTATGGATGTATACATATGTGTACATATGCATGGTATGGATGTATACATATGTGTACATATGCATGGTATGGATGTATACATATGGGTACATATGCATGGTATGGATGTATACATATGTGTACATATGCATGGTATGGATGTGTACATATGTGTACATATGCATGGTATGGATGTATACATATGTGTACATATGCATGGTATGGATGTATACATATGTGTACATATGCATGGTATGGATGTGTACATATGTGTACATATGCATGGTATGGATTCTGCTGCTGCCTCAGCAGCACATGAAAAAGCTTTGTACTTTCACTCAGCTGCAGTTTGTGCCTCCATTGAACATAGCTGGAATGGAGTACTGTTTGCTTGTGAGGTGAATAAGTGAGTGTTTGATTATACGATGGAATAGGTACACTCAATTCTTTATATCTACTCTCATTCCCCTTGGCAAAATAGGTACGGCACTGTAATGGGAGGGCTTCTATCAGAGAAGTACCTGCACGCCAAGGAGCCCAACAGCATGTTCGGTCCTCGCCTCGCCACTCCCTCTCTGAACAAGTACAAGCAGGTGTGAAATAGTCAATCTAGAAATTGCTATATGCGCCTCTTTTTCAGTCTTCTGCCTTGCCACTCCGTCTCTCAGAAAGTACAAGCGGTAAGCGGAGGGGGAAACGGCAGGGTGGAGTCGGAGAATTAGGAGGAGTAGATGCAGGCCCCCCTGCCTTGCTTCTATTGAGTCGACTCAAAAGCAGCACATACAAAACCGTTGTACCTCCCATCACACTCTCTCTTCCCCACCCCACACATGCCCGTTTTTTTCAGATGGTGGATGTGTGGGGCGGCTGGGCGCTGTTCCAGGAGCTTCTGAGGGAGTGTGAGACTGCCTCCTACCGCATACATATCTGTTCTACCTACCTCCTATCATCCTCTCATACCCACCCCCATCATCCCACCGTTTTACGCAGATGGTGGACGCGTGGGGCGGGTGGGCGCTGTTCCAGGAGCTCCTGAGGGAGTGTGAGACAGTGGCAAAGAAGCACGGGGTTACAATCGCTGCAGTGGCCGTGCGCTCTACTCTCGACCAGGTAACTGTCTCAAGCATGTGCAACATAGCACATATGCACACACACCGGGTGGCTCTAAAAACACTCAAGAAGCACAGGATTACAATTTTCTGCAGCGGCTGTACACTCCATTGTCTACCAGGTGAATGTGGATTCACAAAACTGTACTTGACTTGCAACTGGGACATAACGAATTCCCGTTCTACCCTGCTCTTATCGCTCCCTCTCCCCCTTCCTGCCAAAAAACAACAGCCACCAGTAGCAGTGCCTTGTAGGTGTGAGGCTGGGCCTGCAGCAACACATCGCAGACAACTAGAAGATTTCGACTCGCAACAGGGATGAACATAATAACCATATTTCTCTCATTGCATCCCTTCTCATCTATTGCCAAAGCAGCCGGCAGTAGCAGCATCAATGGCGGTCCTGCAGCAACACATCGCAGACAACAGGATCTATGAATTCAACTTGACATTATAATGCCCATCTCCCCTGCTCTTATTGCTCCCTTTCCCCCTTCCTGCCAAAGCAGCCATCGGTGGCAGCATCAATGGTGGGCGTGAGGCTGGGCCTGCAGCAGCACATTGCGGACAACAAGGTGATCTTTGGTTTGAAATTGGACGATGAGGATCGCGCAAGGATCACCAGTGTTACCAGCAGAGGCCGGGACCTTCTTGCTGTGATTGGTGACTGCGGGGACGAGTACAGGTAGAGGTCACTTCAACAGGACTCATTCATTGACCATACTGTCCCTTTCATATTTGACTTGCGATCTGGCGATGAGGATCGGGCAAGGGTTACCCTTGCATGTTAGATTTGCTGGTATCAGTGTTACCAGTGGAGGCCTGGACCCCATTGCTGTAATTGGTAATTTCAGGGATGAGTACAGGTAGAAATCTCTTCAAAAGGTTACATGACGCTCTTAGAATAGACATATACAGTATCCTGTACATGCACGGGCATCGACATAATATAGGCAACATCACCTACCAACTATGGCATGTTGGAAGTGAGCCACCAGAGCATGTTTGTTTTGGAGTTGCCATCATCAAAAGCACCTAGAGCAGCAATGTTCGCCCTGGCCCCCTGCGGGTCGTACAGCGCCTGCAGCGCCCACGCAAAGCCGCGCCACTCGTCCGTGGCGGCACCACTCAGCACAGGTTGCGCCCACTCCACCAGCTGCTTAGCAAACTCGGGGTCAGGGAAGAGGTGCTTGAGGTAGGGCGTTACGGGCAGCACCTGGATGCCCACACGCTTCTCCATGTCCGCCGGTGGGGCGAACCACAGCGCCGCATCGCGCTTGGTGGACCACAGCACGCCCACCACACGGTTGGCGTCTGCAAACACGGCCTCATATGCGGGCGACAGGGACAGCTCCGGGGCGGATGAGCCGAGCGGCACGTGCATGAGGGTCTGCCCGGCGACGGCCTCCACGGCTGCGAGTGTGGCGCCCAGCGTGGCGAGCGGCTGGTCGCCCAGCACTGACGCCAGCAGCGCCGCTGCATAGTACGCGTTGGCCGCCTCGCTGAAGCTCTCCTGGTTGCGCCCGTCGCCGAACTCAAACAGCCCGCTGGCCCACGAGTGCAGCGCGTACGCATCAAAGTGCCGCAGCCTTGGGAATGCCGCCGTGCGCTCCGGCGACATGTAGTCCGCCATCAGGTCCTTGAGCGCCGCACGGTACTGGTCGCGCCACGCGGGGTCGAACTTGGCGACGGTAGCAGCGGCATAGATGAAGTAGCCGTAGTGGAAGTGGTGGTCGTTGTACATGCCCGCTCCAAACTCCGCCCCCTGGTCAAGCGACCCCGCCTCGCTCACCACGCCGCCCCACGTGGGGTCGTACAGCAGGCGGTTACTGGGGAAGGTGCCGTCCAGCCATGCGGAGAGCGCGGATCGCAGGGGCGGCAACACGGCGGCCAGGCTGTCATCGTCTTGCACCTGCTTCGCGATCAGTGCCAGGCGGGCGGCGCGCGCCGCTGTCTTGCCGAAGAAGTAGGTGGAGGGGGAGGAGAGGGGCGGCAGCGCGGCCACGTCCTGCTTGAGGCTGGCCCTCAGCTCGTCCAGCAGCTGGGGGTCGGACGAGAGGGGCCCCGCACGCCACGTGGAGGGGCGCGCTTGGGCACTTTGAGGCGCCACACCGCCCCCTGCATGCCCACCGCCTGGCCGTCGATGGAGGGGTATGCCAGCACTGACGCATCCGGCACCGACGCATCTCGCACGGACGACCATGGTGCACTGCTGCGTGCGTTGGAGGGGGCGGCAGAGGCGGGGTTATGGTGGCCGCGGAGGGCGCCCATGGCGCCTGAGGGTGAGCCGCTGCTGTGACGGCGGAGGGTGGAGGGAAGGGAGGGGCTGTGCGCAGTCACTTCCATGCGCCGGTGCACTGCTCATGGGGGAGGGAGGAGGAGAGGGGACAGAGAAGGAACAAGGGAGAAGGGGGTTAGTTTGACGGACAGATGATGAGGGCATTCCAGGTGACGTAGCAGCACACATGGCAACACAAGTGGCAGCACAGCGCTACTCACTTGGCAGCGAGAGCATGAGCAGCGGCGCCTCGGTGTTGCCGTCAGCCAGCTGGCGCCACTGCTGGGTGCGCCAGGTGTACTTGATGCGGAACGCGCCCACGAGCGCGCTCCCCCCCACCGGCACCGTGGGCACGTGCGCGTCCAGCACCGCCTCCTCGTCCTGCGGGGAGGCGCTCGGCAGCAGCGCCACGCGGATCGTCCCCGTGAATGGCGCATCCGCCGCTAGTGTCGACCCGTCCTGCCGCATCGCCAGTGGCGACGACAGGTACAGCAGCCACGTCTGGTGGGGGGTACGGAGGGGTGGAGAGGGGAAATCAGTGGGGAGGGGGGTGGTGAGTACAAAACGTGAGCAAGCGGAGCGGGGAGATAGGTGGGACAATGAGCAAGCGAGAGGTGGGTGCGTGCTTGAAGAGTGTAGGGAATGGGGCTCAGGCGAGAGTGGGAATGGTACTGCGCTGCGGTAATGAGTGGGCGGAGCGGGGAGCGGGGAGCTGACCTGGCCGTTGTTGAGAGCGATGCGGTACTTGCTGTTGTCGCCGCTGGGCTCTACACCCGTGATGGCGTGAATCGTCGTCAGCACGGGCGTCGCTGGGGGTCCGCCGGGGGGGAATATGAACGTGAGGAAGGGCGACCCGCGCACCAGTGGGACCTCGAGCGCGGGGGGATCGGAGGGCGCGGAGGAGGGTTGGCGGAAGGAGAGGGTGGCGGAGAGGTCGTCGTAGGCGGAGAGCTGATGGGGGGGAAGGCCCTGCAGCGTGGAGAGCATGAGCGCCGTCACGAACGCCTGCACTATGTACCCCGGTTGGGGGTCGCGCACCGGCAGCCCCCACGCGACGCGCCCCTCCGCGCTCTGCACCACGTACGGCGTCACGAGCTCGGGGTTGCCGCCCTGCCCCAGCACGAAGTTCTGCCACGGCGCGTTCGTCGGGTACGGCGCCTGCGGAAGGGGAAAGAGGGGGAGTTGAGCGGGATGAGGGGAAAGGAGGGATGGAAGCACGAGGAACGGAGAGCGCGCGCAGATGGGGGAAGCGGAGATCGCGCGCCGACTGGGGAGGGCTGGGGAACTCACGGTGAGATTGGCGGACCAAAGGGCGGAAGGCGCGGGAGCGACAGTGGAGGAGAGCGCGGGGAAGGCCGCCGAAGCCATGGCGGCGGGGATCAGACGCGCTCGGAGTGCAGCGGAGATGGGACGCGCACAGAGTGCGGTGGGGATGACAGGAGGAACGAGCTTGGCTTGGTTGGCAAGGCAAGGCTGCACGCTGGGCGGGTGGGTGCGGTGAGGCGCCCGCCGTGAAGGTCAGTTGCGGTCGGGGGGTTTGAAGACGCTAAATCTGTGCTGCCGGACGGAGGATGGCTGTTGCGCCAGTGATGATTCGTAGACTCTGTGATCGCGGGAGCTACTAAATATATCACTTCGTCGTGGCCGTGTGATGTCGCGTCCCGTGATGGCAGTGACGTCATGGCGCCGCCGGCGGACCGTCGGGCCCGCGACACGCGAATCAGTCAGGCACGCGGAATTCGAGTCCGCCACACTGCTACGACAGAGTCGCGGGATCTGACTTCAGTCGAACCGCTCGCTTGAATTCATCGGTCATCGACTTCTCCACACCACAGTAATGCGGCAATGCGGCACTCATGACTGATCGAATTGAAGGTACCTGTCCTGCTCCAACTCTGCGCCATCCTTTGCCCTCCCTGGTACACGCGTGCAGTGCAAGGTTGGAATGGCACAGGAGCACCCACCCACCTCGCCTCGCATGTTACCCTCTTTCAGCAAGGCAACGTTGCGACCAAAGCAAGGCGTGCGCGATGTTCTCGCAAGCACCTTGTTCTTCGAACGTGCAGGTGAAGTCGAGATGGGCAGTGGAGCACGGCTTCGTGCTTCTGTGTGTTTGAATTGAACCAATAAATTCTGTTACATAATCCGTATCCTCGATGCGCTCGTGAAACCCAGAGGCTATCTTCGGGCGCGTTCACATACATCCATTTCTCGAAAATTCGCTAAGTTCGGGGAACTCCTTCGAGAGACTCCAGTCAGCGACGCATGCATTTGAGAGAGGGGGCCGAACCCAATTGACATCAGAAGTACGGGTCAAGTGTCAGAGCACGTTTCGTCAGCATTCAGCAACGAAGAGAGCCTCATTCGCATCCCTATCAACAGCACTTGTAAAACAGAGTAGCTGTGACTAATGGAGGACTCGAAACTTGGCTGGTAAGTCTTAGTAGGGCTGCTGGAATTGACTGGATGAGTGTAAGGAAAATTCCTTTTCCTTACTTCGCATCCCTGCTCAACGCGTACAGCACTGTATCACCACAGTTAGCACCGTTACCACTCGACACCCTCGCATCGACAATCCGCCCGCCACCTTCGCACATCGCACCCCGACCTCACGGCTCGGCGGGTAACCCGCGCTCCGGGCCTCCGCTTCGACACTTTTTCCCAACCTCAGTCCCAGGCCCGTCGCGCGACAACCACAGTCCATTACCGTTACCACTGTAGTTTCGCTATATATTCTTCGCTCATGCCTTCACTCATTGTACTCTTGCTTCGATAGTGCAATTTTCGTTCGTTCACTCAATTGCACTCGTAACACCTGGTATTCAGAGCCTACGATCTCCTCTCGGATCTCACCCACACCTTCGCTTCCCCACTATCTCAATTTTTTGGGGGGGTAGACGTCTCTCAGCGACACAGCACCGCTGCTCGTAGTGCTCTCTCGTAAGCACGCACGGCCACGACCGAGGCTCTCGCTGAGCTCGCCCGACACCCCCGCCATGGCCGAATTCATGCTCGCCACATTGACGCAGGAGCAGCTCGACCGTCTGGTGCGCCAACTTGAAGATTCGGCGCTTGAAATTGCGACGCTCACGGCGGAACGTGACTCCGCGCGTCAGCAATCAACGATGAACACTCCAGCGCCACCACATGCACCGACAAATGCATCTGCACAATCAGACGAGCCGATCGTCATCTCGTCCGGCACACCAACACAAAACAACAGCGTGGGACAGCGCTCAGGCGCAGCCAGCGATGGCGCCGCCCAGCCGATGCCTGGCATGGGAGGAAACAGGGTCGTGTCAGTAGAGCTACACTGTGAGATCCCCGATCGATCCTAGTGGGGGTTACAGGCGCGTTTGCCTGAGGGGGTTATGGGCGCACTGACCCGCTACTGAAACAAGCCCTTTTATCCCAATGGTCTAGTGGTTGGGATTCTGACATGGTATCAGAGCGGTCTCGGGTTCAAATCCCGGTGTATGCACATGTTGGCCGTTGCCACTGTGCTCAGTCCTGGGCCTCCCAGTGTGGGGGGGTGTCAGTAGAGCTACACTGTGAGATCCCCGATCGATCCTAGGGGGGGTTACAGGCGCGTTTGCCTGGGGGGTTATGGGCGCACTGACCCGCTACTGAAATAAGCCCTTTTATCCCAATGGTCTAGTGGTTGGGATTCTGACAGGTCGCACCAAGCCCGCGGGAGCCTCGTGAAGCCCGTCGGCACGTGGAGTTCGCGGCGACAAGTGGCGAACAGGCCATCATGGCACCAATGCCACTCAAGCCGCAACGCCCGCCCTGCTTCGACCCGAGCCAGCGTGGAGGCCCGACGGTTCAGTTGTGGGTCTTCATGAGAAGAAGTGAACGAGAATGAAATGACTATGAACGAAGTGAGTACAAATAGGAAACCCTGATTGGGTTGTACCCCTTATGGGATACCCCACTATAGCCTACAGAAACAAGTAAGCTATATGTTCTGACACACCCCCATAGGCAAAGTGGGGGAGAATAAGGGGTCACAAGACCAGTCAAGCAAAGCAAAGCAAAGCTCAGGGTGGATCACAAAGTCACCACGCATTCCGAGCACAAGTTCAAAGGCCACAAGGCCAGTTCACATGCAAGATCATATATAGAGATATACAAGAGGCAAACAAGCAAGAACAAGAGTATATATAGGCGACGGTACAAACAAGGTCAAGAGGAGAGCAAGTGAGGCAAGACAGGCACAAGACCCAACTGCGTGCAACAACGCTGATGATCACAAGGCGCAAGTGCCTTGGTGAAGACATCAGCAGTGTTGGCCTCAGAGGCCACGTACGCAAGTCGCAACTGTCCACGCTGCTGTAGCTCACGAGCAAGAAAGTAGCGGAGAGCAATGTGCTTCGTTCTGTGCTCCAGTCGCTGCTCTCGACACAAGGCCAGCATGGCCTTGTTGTCTACGTACAGGACTGGAGGAGAACGAGGCTGCTCTCCAAGGTCGGTCAGCAGGTAGGTGAGCCAACGTACCTCCTGCGCAGCCATAGCCCCAGCGTAGATCTCAGCCTCACAACTGGAGCCGAGAACAGAAGACGAGCGGGTAGCCCGCCACGAAACAGAGCCGGAACCAAGGCTGAAGGTGTAACCCTGTGACGACCGCTGCGTAGCCTGGTCGTCAGCCCAAGAAGCGTCTGCGTGCCCAGTGAGGACCACTGGACTGCGCCCTCCAAGCACTAGCCCCATGCCTGACGTGCTGCACAAGTAGCGCAACACCCTCTTCGCTGCAGCCATGTGCTCTGGTCGGTGTCTCCCAGGAGCAACATAGCGTGCGAGAATGCTAAGAGGGTATGCAAGGTCAGGACGTGTGCAGGTCATCAGGTACATGAGGCAGCCAACAAGCTCTGCAAACGGGCCACTCGACTCTACGGACTCATCCGAAGGCAGAGCTGAGAGTGAGTGGCGAGTAGGCAGAGGAGTGGCCTGAGGCGAGGAGTACGTGAAGCCGAAGCGCTGAAGGACCTGCTGCACCATGTGTGACTGAGTCAGGGTAATGGTGCGGCGCGCTCTGTCTCGGGTGATCTGCAAGCCAAGGTAGCTACGCAGTTCACCCAGGTCAGTGCACGTGTGTCTCTTCTGCAGCTCGGACTTCACGTAGGCGAGTCCAGCAGTGTCAGCTGTGGCAAAGACCAAGTCGTCGACGTACACGAGGATGTAGAACGGCAGCAGAGAGGTGTCGGTGCGCAGAAACAGCGACGGGTCGGCAGTAGACGGAGCAAACCCAAGTGCCGCGAGCGTAGTCCTCAGTGTGTCGTGCCACTCACGTGGCGCCTGGCGGAGACCGTAGACTGGACGCCGGAGACTCCACTGGGTACCAGGAGGGAAAGACCCAGTGAAGCCAGGTGGGCGACGCAGCCAGATCTCCTCGTGCAGACTGCCCTACAAGAAAGCTGTGCTGAAGTCGAGAGAGTGCAGCTCGTAGTCACGGTGAGCTGCAACGTGCAGCAGAACCCGAAGAGTAGTCATCTTCGGGGTGGGGGAGAAGGTCTGAAAGTAGTCAACCCCCTGCCGCTGACTGAAGCCACGAGCCACGTAACGCGCCTTGAAGACAGGCGGTGAACCCGGCGGCCGCTTCACCCTGAAAATCCACATGCCACTGACGATGTTCGCCCCAGGAGGGGGAACAGCGTCGACGTAGGTGCCTGTGGACTTCCAGGAAGCCATCTCTGCATCCATAGCTGCCTGCCACTGAGAGGAGTAGGGACCCTCTATCGCCTCCGCGTAAGAGCGCGGAGTCGGGATGTCTGGTGCATCCGGGTCTCCCTCAGGGGCTAGCAGTACAGACGCGAGATGAGGTGAAGCGGCAGCCAGACACTGGAACTCCTCCTGCCTGTCCTCAAGGACGTCCGTGCCGAGGGCACACTCACCCCCGACGGACGGAGGACAGGCAGACTCAGACTCAGCGACAAGACTGGCAGCGTAGTCTAGACGACAGCGTGCAGCAAAGTCGACAAGCTCAGAGACAAGGGCAGACGCAGCAGACGACTCGAAGGAAGGGTCAGTGACAGCAGTAGCAAGGAGACGCGTGACAGTAGGACTGGCAGCACGAAGAGAGTCCGACTCTGGGTCGGCAAGAGCAGGAAGAGAGGAAGCAGGAGGAGAAGGCAAAGGGGCACGCAGAGGAGCAGTGGACGGACGCAGTGACATCCGGTGCGTGCCAGGGACAGGAGGAGGACGCTGACGCGACTCGCGACCACTAGCGTGCTCAGTACGAACAGGCGACGCAGGACGAGACGCAGGCTCACGACGCTCAGTAAGACCTCCAGTCGGACCACCGTAGGGAGAAGGAGCAGGCAAAGGGGAGGCAGGCTGTAGCTGTGGCTGTGACCGGACAGGCTGCGGAC